CCCCAAAACCCCAAAACCCCAAAACCCCATGGTGAGGGAAGATTGATAAAGGAACAAATTTACAATAATTAATTTACATTATGAAAACTAATCTAAAATCTTTCCATGAGCTATCGTCAATCAATGATTCAATGCCGAATTACATTGTTGATTACATTTATCCTGGAAATATCTTTGCAGGAATTGCTGCAGCTAATAGCCAATTTGTAAGCCTGATTTCTTGATATAAAGGTTGCTCTCTCCTTGCTAGGACTCTTAGGCCAAGCAGGAGGAATTGCCATCCTTCTAAATTATTGGAGTAAATATTATAACAAAATACTTCCAAAGAGGCTGTCTTAGTCAGATCTCACATGGTAGAGCTATGGTTCAATATCTGTATAAATTATTAATCAAAATGAATGCAGTCTCTAATGAGTAATATAGACCTTGTCCAAATGCAATTTTAATTGCAGTGAATTCCAAGAGAAGTCTAGTGATCTGCATAAGAATTGCTTGGATCACCAGCACAAATCTCCAGATTACCAAAAGAGCAAAAATACTGAAGGTTCAGATGTGAAACAGTTATCGTTATTCCTGAAGACACCCAACAAAAATAAGAGTGAACACGAATCAGAAGATCTAAGCTCATGAGGCCAAGCACTGGAAAATAAAGGTGTCCTAAACACCTCTAAAGATACTTGTCATGAGCATGATCCAGACACGTTGTTTTCTGATCCAAGTACTGATTCTGCCTTGGCTTCAATTTCTAAAGGCCCATTAGAACCCACCTCAAAAACCTCAATTTCCTCTCTATTCAGCCAGCCATCTTCGAGCTCTGAGAGGAAAGATGTATGCTATAAGGCTGCTTTGAGGTTATTCAGAAGGTTTTTCAAGAAGACCTTCAAGGCTTGCAATCAAGATATGTATAAAAGAAGATTCAGTAATTACACCGTTGATGATATTTATCAAAAAGTTTGTTTGATGTTAATGAAACTTGTTCCAGCCGAGTACATCACCCAAGACCTCGTATATTTTACTATTGGGATTATTGGTGCGAAGAAGGCTTCTCAACTGCCATGCCGCGATTCGATTAAGAGTCAAATCACTACAATACAAGCATGATGTAAAAATTTCTCGAGAAAAAAGTTCAATAGAATAATGGCCTCCAAGAGTTTAAGAGTCTTGACAATGAGCTTCACTGATAAGATAGATGATCCAAGAGTGAGTATCCTCAGAGAGGAATTAGAATAAATGCAATTATTCAGATCAAGCCACTAAGCTGAAGGTTTTTACTCATATTTTGCCTTCTTCAAATTTTGAAGCAAAAATTATCGTTTTAGTTGGCTAAATAAGATAAAGCGTACGCAGAACGGTTTCATAATAATTGATCCTAAAATTGTCACCCATACTTCGTAATTTTGGTTTATTGGCTTTTCTTGCCCTAAGCAGGCTTCTTTGGGTTAACTTGACCTAGTCTCCATAAGTTGCTGAGTATGCAAGAATCCTGGTTTTCTAAAATGTGTCAACAGTAAAGAAAACATATGATCCCACCGCGATGATAGCTTTAGATTCTTGGGGAAGCTTCAAACCTACTCTTGCTTATCCAATGGCTCTATTGATTACTTATAGCTATTATTAACAAGATATAAAAGTGTAATAAAGATTTCAATAAGTATTCACCTGGGTTCTATTCAGACATATATACTTAAGTCTCCTAATAATCTCTGAATTTTTTAACATATTTAAACCGAGATTTTAAGCCAAATTTTGATGCAAATTATGGATGGCAACTTATGCATTGACGTTCTAAACTTAACAAAATGTTATCAATCGTTGCTTACGTATAACTTAATAATTCTTAGATTATTAAAATTTTTGTCAAACATAAAACTTCCTAATTGATTTCCTGTTCTTGTCTTCTAGTAAACTGGGAAATTAGCAGGCAGCTCTGCTAATAAACTTAAGGACTCTGGAAATACCTAAAAATGTATGCGAGAGCTTGCAGTATCGTGTTGCGCTTCATTGAGCATTATATTTACTAAGAGTACCAATCAGATAATTTAGAATTAAAAGTGACTAATTGAGAAATACTTCAAGAGGCCCGATGATAGAAAGTATCCTCAGACCCCTAAGACTTGAAAGAGATCTGATGAAGAGGTATAGTTTATCAAGAACAAGTCGGAAGACTGATAGTAAGGGTATACTACACCAATTCCCTACTATCCATGCTTATCAATGGCATTAATAGCAGAATTGGGAATCTATGACTTAGTAGCCCAGTCCAATATTTCCAAGTTTGCGGCCGGATTACTAAAACATTGAACAAAGTTGATTATAAAAACTGTTTTCATATATGAATTTAGAGGGAACTAAGCTCATCTCTTCAGACAAACTAGTTGGTATTATTATGGCTGATTTTAATATTTTCTGCGCGGTGAGCTACTTATTTTTCAACAGGATTTATTATTACTTCTATGAAAAGCTCATGGGTACTCTCCTTCGATTAACTTATAGAATCTAGGAGTTCTTTGGCATTTATAAGCAAGTAATAACCATAGAGTAATTTGAGGGCAACCTCTTTGGATACCGATGTTGAAAAACCATATTCTCTAGAAAATACGCCATAAATAGATCTCATGGAAGAGAAATGAAGACACAAGACAAATCTTATCAAATAGATTTATATTTTAGAAATAACTGATTCAAAATAAACAGAAGGAGTCTGTTTTAGAAAATCCAGAGCTTAAGAGAAGAACCAGTTATTAAAATCCAACTAAATAATTTGCAACAACAATGCTTGAGAATTATGTTTTTGGGCCAAATTAAGGACAAACTGGAGGCTTATGAATATATCAACCACTGAGAACTACAAGTTGCACTCATATCTCTTGCTAGTTATTTTAGTTCTTTGGAAGAGGCAAATTTGTAATTTGGTTTTCTGATCTCCCGTTCTTATTCAAAATTTCCACTCAAAGTTTGATAGAATAAATTAGCTGATATCACGAATTGGAGAAGTCTTCATATGATATCTAAGAGACTCACAGTACTATTTTTGGCTAAAACTTAATATTATGAGTGTTTTAAGTAGACTCTCTTAATCTTAAATGCAACCAAAAGTATTGGGTCAATAATCACAATCTGGAAAACTTGATTAAATCTGTAACTAAATAAAAAGTCCAAGTTAGAGCATCAGCGCAAACAAATTAACTTAGAAATATTTTATCTAAATGCTATTATGGACTATCCTTTCTTTCTAGATATCCCCAAGAGGTGTCATTAATTCTCTTGAAGAGGCAACCCTACCATCTGAGGTCGGTTTCTTAACTTCGTGGTTTATATTCTTCTCTATTTTGGTGCAAACTTTATCATGAAAGTTAATAATAGATATAAATTTTACAAAAGTGGAGGCTTCATAGCAATAAATGAATGGCCCACATCAGAACATGAGAGACTCATTTGATGTCTATTTTGTTTTAGAGACTGAATTAGGAGCACCAAAGGTGATAATATTATTACCCATATGTGTTAACAAACTTTCATATTAAATTGTGTAGAGTATGCTCACCTACATTAAAGAAATTTAGAGAAATATGTTTGTAATTCTTCATAAAATCTGATGTGTATTTCTCATAAGAAATATGAAGAAAAAATATTATCTTAAATATTGATAATCTTTGCATTTTTTTGATATTTATACTAAATTACTAAACACCACCGAGTTTCAAATGCTCTCCAAATTTTAATAAAAATGACGAGGCTCTATCTCCCAAAAGGGATTCTTTAGCATGAAAGGCTGATTCACCTCAAACTTATCCAAATCAAGCACTCTACAAACCTCATATACCAAATACCCACTTTCAAACTCAAATTTCGCCTCTAAAAGCTTCTAACTTGTCATTTAACCTCAATTCATTCATTTTCAATTTTCAAAAGCACTGGTTCAACCTCCATATTTAATATTGGGGTTTTGGGGTTTTGGGGTTTTGGGGTTTTGGGG